AGCGCGCCCGTGCGCGGCCCGCGGCGCTGTCCGGAGGCGCTGGCGGGGCCCTGTGGGCACGACGGGCACCGGCACCGAGCCGCGGTCCCAGCGCTGCCTCCCGGCGGGCGGAGCCTCCCGGGGCTGCTCCGTGTGCCGGCTGCGCCGGTGCCTTGCTCAGAGTGCTGAGAGTTGCAAACCCCCAGACTTCTCCTTCTCTTGCGGGTTCCTGAAGCTCAGTTTCTCCTTGGCCGCGCACTGTAACTTGAGGCGGGTGTCTGAGCTCCGTGCCGGTCCCGGCGGTGCCCGGCCCGCTGGTGCGAGGCGCCGGCACACGGCAGGTGCCGGTGGGATTGTCAGGTGGGAGTAATTTCATGTTTCAGCAATTAGCTTAATGCGCTGTGCCCACGCTACATCTGGAGTGTTTGCTCTTGAATCCTGCGTTATTAACAGGTTGTTATGCTTGAAATTAATTACAACTAGGACCAAACAACCCCCACACCCTGAACAATAGAAATATTCTTACAATCTCTGGATGACTAATTAAACTGCAAGTTGTTTGCTGCTTGAAGTACAACACTATTTCTCTTACCGTGTGTTTTGTGTAAGATCACAAACATCGTCCCACAACTCCTCAGAGTTAATAGAGTCCGTTTTAAGAGTCAGCAGATTTGGACTGTTGCCCAGTGACAGACTTATTCCCTTACCTATTTGAAATCTTAGCCCCTTGTTGTGTCCTGATTTATGCTCTCTGTTAAGGAGAAAGGGCCCTCTTATCTGCAAAGGGAAGTGGGAACTATGGAGAACACAGATTATACAGAAGGTTGCTGTCATAGATCCTGATTTTGGAAGATAAATGTAACTACCTTGGATTTAAAGTGGGTTCAAACTGCAGATTCTCTTACCTGCTTTTGAAAATTGAATTTAATTGAATCCAAGCCTCTTTTCTCATTAAGGTTGAAACTGTAGGTCAGTAAATCACATTATTTTGTTCTTGGAGTGTCCTTTGGCATAGAGGTGTGTGGGCTTTTGATTTTAACTAAGGTGCAAGTGCCTAATAGTCCCTCTTTCTTCTGTAGCAAGTTTGAGGGAAAGATTTAGAGTAGTTAATTAACGTGAAATGTACAAATGTTAAGAAAAACACCTCTGTTCAAGCTTTTCTAAGGTCTATTCAGTATTAATGTGTGATAAACATGGGCATTGAACGCTATTGTGGAAATAACAAACCTATGAGTGGTCATTTCTTTCTTAATGCTGAAAAATCTAAACTTTTTTTTTACCTTTCAGGATCAAGCAGAGCAGTTTTTTAGAAGTGGACATACAAATAACTGGGCAGTTTTGGTAAGCATGGTCCCGGTTGTTTTCTTCCAGTAATGTTGACAGTTCTTCATCAGGAGCTGCAATTGCAACAGTCATTCAAGAATCGTGCTCATTTGAAAGAAATTGAAAGATAAACATTTGGAAATTAATAAATTTGAAATTGTGCCTGCAAATTTATTACACTAAAATAAAATGATCATTTCAATATGACCAAATTTCAGGCACTCAATGTGTCTAACTTCATGGCAGGATTCATAAAACAAAAGTTCCAAAAGTATTAAAATAGTTAAATTAGCATACTGCATATTGAAAAAAAAGGTGTAATTCTGATACCAGGGAAGTCTGGTCTCTTTGAGCAGAAAGGTAGAATTTATATCTCATTTTTGTTCTTATTCAATCTGTTAACTTGTGATAACAGACTGGGAATAAAATCAGTTGAGGCAGCATAGTGTTTAGATCAACTGTTCATACCCTTTCTTTTTTGTTTGCCATGTAACTTTTATTAGCTTTGAATCATGCTGCACAATTGGTTCTTAATCACAATTCAGGTCTTAATGACTAATTTGTTTCAGAACACTATTGTAATTACTCAGGAGCAGCTGTTTGTTTTCCAGATACTAAAACTGAGCAATATAAAAGGAAAGTTAAGAGTAACTAATTGAAGGAATAATTTCTATATTCCACAATGTACAAACTTGAAACTAATAAAACATAACATACTATTCTAAAACTATTAACAAACAGATGCTTTTATTAGTACCCATAAAAACACCCAAAGAAGGTGGAAAATTAGGTCCAAGGACCAATACTTTCTGTGCTGAAAGATTTTCTGCTGGTTTTATTTTCTCAGTGGTTCATTGCTGAGTTTTGTAACACTGCTAATTTTTTTAAGCAGTAAAAACCTGGGAGGGTTTTACTGCTGCCAGTTACTTCAGCCCTGGGATTAAATTGCAATCCCACCTCATCAATAGCTTGAATTAATGTGCTGCAGCATGGATAACCATATTTAAAGCTTAGACACACTTTACACTGTGTTCTAAGGGAGGTACTGGAGGCAGAGGGCAGATGATAGTACCAGGAAGTGTCTCAGCTGAATTGGACACAGTTTGTTTTCAGGGCATTAAGTCTTGCTGGAAGGCAAATGTCCTCATGGACTGATTCCTGGGTTTCTTTTTGGTATTCCTTACCGACAGGGTGATAGATACACAACGGGATTCTTTCAGGCTGGATGTTATTATTACTTAAGCTACAACTCAGTTCTTATTATGAAATAAGAGTAGAGAAAGAGATGCTATGTAGTGTAACTTACAGCTCTACATTTAGAGCTGGAAAATTAAAAAAACTATCTAAATGCATTTTCCTGCATCTCTGTTTTTGTGGTTTTAAAGTCACCTCTTCTAGAAGCTTTTGGAATGTCTGAATCAGAGCCTGCTTTAGGGAGTATGTAAGTAAAGGGAATGGCTGAGCCCTGACTCCTTGCCTGTTAGAACAGTAGAAATTAAACTCTGAGAATTTGTGTTCAGATTCATTTCTATTTGAGCTCTCTATGGTTAGAGCTCACTTTGCTCTTACTTTGACTCCATAAATGCAAATGTCCTCAGTGCATTTTCCCCTGTGTGTGGCTTCTGCATGAATTAATTCACTTGTGCCTTTGTGGAAGAATGCTCCCAAAATGGTATTGCTATTGAGATGAGAACTTTTCCTTTGATCTCTCTTCCATTTGATAAGGAGAAAGCAAATGAAAAAATTCAGCTTATCCACTTGCTGTTGCTGGATTATTCCCTGAAGTGCCACTTTCTATGTTTAGTAAGGGTTTATGACAATTTTATCTTGAGTCAGTATGCTAGGAACTTTTTTTTTAAACTTTTATTTTCAGAATTTTTTGCTTTGGGACAGTTAAGATTTACAGAACTTATATGATGAGTTTATTGGTGTTACTATATTCTTTCTGAGTTGTTACTATTTTTTTATATTTCTGTAATCACGTTCTTCTGATGCAATGTGTCAGGCCAGTTTGTATCTTTATTTAATATGCTTTTTTTTTTTATTTCAAGGTGTGTACATCTCGATTCTGGTTTAATTATCGTCATGTGGCAAATACTCTTTCAGTGTACAGAAGTGTCAAGAGGCTGGGCATTCCTGATAGGTGAGGGAATCTTGGTGAATCCAGTTCTTGCTACTAAAGTTCTCATGCTATCTCAATCAGTATGGAAATATATTTTTCTTCCCGGTTAAACTGGATAAAAGTAAAAAGGAAGGATGCAAGCACACCAGTGTGATGAAAAGTGCAGCAATGTTGTTCCAAAGGAAAAACAACAAGTTGCATAATAAAATTTCCATTTGGAACAGCCTAATTAGATCTAGCCACTAAAATGTACCACTTAGCAAATTGGTGAAAGTGTAATTTGAAAACTGCTAAATGCACTCAACAATGACTGTACTTCTGTGAGATATGAGTCTTGCTGTACTTCAATTTTCCTTTTACTGTGGAGATGTTGGTAACTGTGACTATACTAAGATGTAAGACTTCCACATCTGTAACTACTTTGAGTCTTTAAAGGCTCTGAACTATAACTTCTATATATTGACAGTTGCCTTGAAAAAATCCATTTTGCATGATTTTATTTGAGAAACCAATTTTTTGTCTGTACAAGTTGTTTCTCTAGTGATAGCTCAAAGGTTAGAACAGTATCTCTTATTTGACAATGGGAGTGGGAAGATTCTGAAGTAAGTATCTTTTCTTTGTGTTCCTACTGGAAGTTCTAGCAGTGTTGGCACAGTTCCTTCGAGCTGTTTCAGAATGTAATTTACTTCTGTCAGAACTGTGGAAGTGAATTTAAGGCACCAGCATCCATTGTGTAATAACCTATATGTACCATAGGCTCCTATAGAATTCCTTGTGGTCCTGGTTTTTAATGGTAGTTTAGAGGACTGGTGATTTCTTCAGCGTGTCAGCCTAAAGAAGTGTGGTCTGCTTCATCACTGCAAAATGCGTATTCTGATGGATTGAATTAGTATGGCATATTTTTGTCCAAGTCCAAAACTACTGCACACTTGGAGTCCCCAGTTGACTCCCACTCAACTATGAATGCACTGACAGTAACATCCTGTTCCCTGTGTTTATTATATTAAAAAAAAAGAAAAAAAAGGAGTGACTTTCTGATTTTTGAAAGAGTGGATTTTGAAACTCAATTTTTAGATGCATTTTTAGGGTTATAAATCCAAGGGAACACACTGCAGAATCCATTGCTGTGGGCTGAAAGGCACAGAAAGATGCCTTTTGTTCTTGCAGAAGTCAGTCGAGAGCAGCTGTCCTCTCTCCTGTGTAGCCTTTGAAGCACAGGAGCCCTCGGCACTGCCTCAGAAATTCTGTCACCAGTCCTGCCCTTACCTGAGAACTTTCATCTTCTTTGCATCCATCTGTCTTCACCATTAAAGTCAAAATAGGTGTGAGTTTTAGAAATACTGCAAGAGCTATGACGTGACTTGAGATTTCTGTGTTCAGTAGCAAGATCCATTGCTTATCCATATCCAAGGATCTGGAATTAATCTCAAAAAGCCAGCAAAGCTTTAGACTACAGTCAAGAATACTCTCCAAGACAATGGAGAAGACCTAGAGAGAGAGAGAGAGACTGTTTATTTAGCATTTACAGCAAATTTTATGTGGATTTGAGTGTTTCTTCCTTAGGCAAACTTTATCTGTTTTTCTTTCTTTGCTACAAGAACAAAAAAAAAAAAAAAAAAAAAAAAAAAAAAAAAAAAAAAAAAAAAAAAAAAAAAAAAAAAGCCAGCACCACTCAAAATCACATCTAAAAAAGAAACATTTATCATGATTCTTGGAGTTGGTTGTTTTTAGTGCCCTTTAAAAATCTCTGAATTTTTTTATGAAGAGCTCTGGCCCCTGAGGTCCAGGCAAGCCTGTATACTAAAGCTGCTGATGTTAAATACTCTCATGCTCATCTTTGGCCTTACTTACTCCTGTGGATATATGACAGCCAGCTGCATTTCTGTGTGTGACATCTTCATGATACTGAGGATGCTTACAAGGAAATAAGGTATAACTTTGCAAAGTTTCACTTAGAATTCCAGGAATCTTTTTAATGATCCAAGCTATTGCTGTAATTGTTGAAGAGTGTTGTTCTAATTTCTGTTTCACTGTCATGTGAAAGCAGAATGTCCGAAATATTTTTTTCTTATTTTTCACAGTCACATTGTCTTGATGCTGGCAGATGATATGGCATGTAATCCCAGAAATCCCAAACCTGCTACTGTGTTTAGTCATAAAAACATGGAGCTAAATGTCTATGGAGATGATGTGGAAGTGGATTACAGAAGCTATGAGGTAACTGTGCTTTAATTAAAACACTGAGTATTTATTCTTTAGTGTTAGTTTAAAGATTTATGCAGCATCTGTGAAATCTGAGGAAGTCTTTCTGTTCATATTTCTGGTTTTGGGTTGGGCTTTTAGGCTCATCATCACTCTGCTGATGAGTCTAAAATACATACCTTTCCCCTCCTTGATATTTGATTTTGTATTTGAAGTTCATTATAGTAGAATCATGTTTAGTGTATCTATTTTAAATAATGGGATAGAATCACATTCCTGCAATTTCTCTGGAAATAACTGCTCAGTGTCTCATCTTGGCAACACAAAAATTACTGTGAAAATTTTGGTGTGCAAGTGAATTGTTTATTAGGTTGATGTACTTCAATTCCTAATCTTAAGCATATGCTCCTAAAATAGAGCAAAAGCCATAACTTAATCACAAAGCAATTACTGCAAAGCAATTACTGTATAAAAATCTGAATTCTGTCACCTTTCTTTTCATGTAATATTCCTTCATGCCAGGCAGTCTTTACCAGTTGAAACAGAATTGCACATCATTTTCTTGGTTCAGCAGTACTGTAGAATTGTTGCTAAATGTTTATTTGATAGTATTTAAGTATATAGTAATTCTTTTATTTCTCTGAATCTTTATACAAAGAAGTGAAAACACTGGAATAGAGCTACATTCTTTTTATCATGTTTTTTCCTGGGTATGGATTTGTTGCTGGCATTTGAGCTGTGCATGTGTACTTAAAAAGGAAGTGGTGTTTTATAGGATGTCTTGCAGTCACCACTCAGATGGATCTTACCTGATCACTCAGACTTATGTAACTGGATTGATCTTGTTTTTTCTTTCCTGAGTTGCAGAGGGAATTTAAACTTTTGTTTTTCCATGGTAACACACACTAATGTTGGAGCATTTTGTGAGTACAGGAGCAGCTTTGGCACAATGCAGCTATATGATGACAGTTTTCAGAACAATGTAAATGTATTTAAAAATTATAATGGTGGTAGATTTGTTGGATATAATTAAGCAACAGGCTGATGTTAATGGAGTAAAGTAAAAGGTACCGCATGATTTTTCACCTGAAGTAAAAGCTTACACAGAAAATGTTTATGTAGTTTATACCATGCTTAATATGTCTGGTTATTATATACTCCATATTTTAGTGTTCCATTATTTAATTTCTGTAACCCAGCCTATAGCTGATCAATATTTTTATCTTTAGAAAATAACTTAATGCTTCTGTTCATAGGTTACTGTGGAAAATTTCTTGCGTGTTTTAACGGGAAGAATCCCACCAAGCACACCACGATCTAAACGTCTTCTTTCTGATGACAGAAGCAATATTTTAATATATATGACAGGTAATTGCAGGTTTCTGTGTACAATTTATTGATGCTTTCTCAGTTGGATGGGTTTGTTGAAAGCATCAGTAGTCCAAATGCACAAAAGGATCAACCAAAAGATTTTTTTTCTGTTTTTAGCATGTCATTCTAATTAAGAAAAAATGCCTGTAAAGCACTACTAAGCCAGTATAGTTTCCATTTGAAATGGGTATTATTTTTACTGTACCAATATTTTGTTTTGTTGAACTGTCTCTGTAGAAAGAGAATTGTGTTTACCTTGTTTTAGAAAAATGACCAACAAGGCTGTATATCTTCCTTTAACCTACATCCTTGCCTAACTTCTGATTTTTATGTCAGGCCACGGTGGAAATGGTTTCCTAAAATTCCAGGATTCTGAAGAAATCACAAATGTAGAACTTGCTGATGCCTTTGAACAAATGTGGCAGAAAAGGAGGTGAGAAATAAGCATTATGTAGATATTGAATATTGAATATCCTGAACATACTCTTAAGTGTATGAACATACTCTTAAGTGTAAATCTTACTGGTAGGCCTTGCTTGCCTGCAGTAGTGATACTGTTGGTTGTCCATAAAATTGTGTGATGGTTTGCATTCAGAAAGCAGGGTTTTAGTTTCTGCTTGCAGCTTCCTGGAGTTAGAGCTGCTCAGAGGTATTGCTTTGGGCAAACTCACATCCTAAAACTGATCAGGGTGAGCTCCTGTTCCTTAGGTTCTGAGCAGCTGCCCTGGTAACTAAAAAGCAAAGTATGTATATGGTGTTTAAGTAGAAATGGGTAAGGAGGCTGTTTTATTTCTTTCAGGTACAATGAATTGTTGTTTATTATTGATACTTGTCAAGGAGCATCCATGTACGAACGATTTTATTCACCCAATATAATGGCCTTGGCTAGCAGCCAAGTAGGAGAAGATTCTTTATCAGTAAGTAGATTTATGTGATCCTGAGGACAGTTTTCAGAATGCTTGAATTAAAAGCACAATTTCTGCTGACTTTTAACTAAAAATTTCCATTACTCTAATTGCTGAATCTATGAGGTATTTTGTGGGTGGTTGACAAAACTTGTAAGTGTACTGTTCCTGCTTGTTTTTGTGTGCTGTCCCAAAGAACCAGGCTAATGATGGATTTCTGTGCTTGCTGACCAGTTTGTGCATTGCCTAGGGATAGCAAGGAATCTTATGGGAAGACTGCTGAGAGATGGGTGTAAGGAATATTCAATCTACGACTTACTATACTTGATATAAAACAAAATGCTAACTTTCACCTGCTGTAATTATATCCCAGCTGAATTACAGAAGGAGCCATAGGAGAAATCCCAGCCAGACCAAAAGCAGCTGGTCAGGATTACCTGAGCCCGTGCAGTGCTGCAAGATATACTGGCTCTCCCAGCCCTGTTTTCAGAGTCCACAGATCCATGCTGGACCATTAAGAAGGGGTTCCCTGCGTTTTGGGAAACAGATATCATCAGGATACAGTTTATAGATAAACTGTATTATTCAGCCTATCAGCAGTAGGTTTCTTCACAGCTAGCCGTTTTCTTCGCATAATTTACCTAAGAACAAAAAAAAATTATGGTCAACTTTTGCAATATCCTGTTACATTCTGTTCCTTCTCCTGAATGCTGAGTTGTCTCCTGCAAATGCCCAGTAACTGCTGTGTGTTGTTTTTAAAGCATCAGCCTGACCTGGAGATTGGCGTTCATCTCATGGACAGATACACATTCTATGTGTTAGAATTCTTGGAAGAAATCCATCCAGCCAGTCAGACAAATATGAATGACCTAGTAAGTAGAATACTCAACATTCATGAATATGCTAATGACTTTAATAGTTCCAAAACTAATCTATTTTGTCTGTAGGGTTCTTAAAATGCTTTTTATGCTCCTGCTGTTTCCCTCGGAAGCAGCTTTGGAGGGAGGTTTTTTTTGCCATTGTTAAATGTAGTTGTGTAACACTTCAAGGATTGTCCTCATTTGAAAGTGCTTTGCTGGCTCCAGAAAAAAATAACCAAAAGTAGCCAGATTTTGTATTTTTGCTGAAAAAAAAAAATTAAGTATTCATTAAATATTCATATAAATAGAATGAAGCATTTGCATGTGAAATATTTTAGCAGGAAGCTTCTAAAACCAGGATAGCAGACACTTTGCAGATGTGGAAAAGCAGGCATTGATGTTGTTTTGCAAAGGTGGTTAAACAGTTAAAATTCTAACACTGCACTCACAAATGCCTGCAGAGATTAATTTATCTGTATATCTGTTTAGATTCCAGAGCAAGATAGGTACAAATCCATCAGTGTTTGGACTTAATTATATCTGAGGCAAACATTATTGTAGATTCCAGGTATGAAGCAGAAGGAAGAAAAGAAGCCAACCAGGTAACATATGACAAAATTTATGAAAATGCCTCTCTAGCAGTGAGATGTATACACTGGTGAGATGACATAAAAAGTAACCATATTTTACTTGCTCTGTTAACCCTTTGTACCTTTTCCAATGCTAGTTTCTTTTTAGTCATGGGTTGTACTCTGGTACTTTGTAGCTGTAAATCCTGCTGTGCCACATCAGTAATCTAAGAGCCACCACTTACAGAACATAATTACATCATCATAGATTCGTTTCTGTAAAAGGAGCAGCTGCTCAAAAGTTTTATGCCACCCTCTGTCTACAGAGGATGGTGTTAGCCTGACTGCTACATGTGTGCTAGAATTCTCTCTAAACAACCCACACTTGGCAGATTTTATGTTGATAGAGAATTGATTCAGTGGCTAAGACTCAAGGTTCTTTTAGATAGTTCTATGGAATGAAATTCTGTCCTCTAATTTAATACCTTCTAATTATGGGATACAGATAAATTTAAAATAAATCTTGATAAAGCAAAATATGCAAGTTCTTTATTGATTAAGTATCTTTGACTAGCCTGTTTATTCAAATTTCACTGTAAAACAGAAAATTAATTTGTGTTAATAATAACAGGTAATAAAAAGGAACAGTGCTTTTTGCTGTATAAGACACTCTCTGGAAAGTGGTATACGTGAGCTGGCCAGGAGGATGTTAATCCGATTATTGTGAAAAATGTAGAAATTTCCTAGCTGGCCAAGTACTTTTTGAGCTCTTCAGAGACAATACCTAAGTGTGCTTTGGTTATATGCCAAATATTCAGGAAAGGCTGAAGGAAGTTATCCATACTGGTAAATTCCTTACATCATGTAAATTGATGTACTGATTGATGCTGGGGGAATGTAAGAGGCAGGGCACAAATGTACCATGACTTGTGGTAATCTGTTCAAGGCCAGGTTGGTTGGGACTTCGAGGCTTGGTCTTGTGAGAGGTGTCCCTGCCCTTGGCAGGAAAGTGGAACTAGGTGATCTTTAAGGTCTCTTCCAGCCCAGACCATTGTGTGATCAGGTACTGAGTCGTAATCTGCACGCATTTCAACAAACGTGACCACTTGACTTTGAGTCAGTACTTTTCAAGGCTTCATTTAAGAGTTCCAAAATGACATATGGTTAGTCCATGGTAAAGATATAAACCTATTTTATTTGCCAGCAGTTGCAGGAGGTGCTCTGGCACTGGAGGTACTCTATCCAACTCTCCAACTCTGATTTTTTAAATTTAAGTTAATGTTTTCCAAGTTAAGGGTAACTTACATTACTCACTATCTAGCTTTAAAATTAAATGATCTTCAGTTGTTTGATCTTCTGATATGTCGAATGTCTTCTCTTTTTGAAGTACTGTTTATTTGTTACACTGCTTCTATCCTGTTACCTCTTTACTTTTCTCTAACTACTCTTGAAACAGCTTCTTTTCACATCCACCTAGGATTTGGATATTGCATTCCTGCAAAGAATGATACATCATTTTTCATAATCCACTCCACCTACTCCCCACCTGCTCCATCTGTGTTGCTAAGGGATAGCATAAAGCTGTGCAAATGACTGACTATAGGTTTGATCACAATTCCCTGAAAATAAAGACTGCATTGAAATGTTGTACATTTGAACTTTTAAAATAAGATTCAAATAAATTTCTAAATGAGGAATCATTTGTCATAAAATAGCTAAAGTGTTGTTAGGAAAGTTTAAATAACAAAGTTGGGGGAGTTAGCTTCGTTCGAAAAAAAAATTAAAAATTTGGAAAAATTTATATAGGAAAAAATGTGCTTAACTTAGCCAGTGTTTGCCTTTTCATTTTTTTTGTCAGAAGACCTTGGTTATTAGTGTTAGTCTGCTGTGGTATAATTAATTGGTTTGCAGTCCTTTCTCAGAGCAGTAGTGGATGGGTACATTTTTAACACTGAAGTCTTCTTCTCACCGCCATGTCATATTTTTGTTCAAATTCATATCAATATGTTGTGGCAGTAAACTGTTGTGGGACAGGTTAGAATTAGTTTGGTGCAGTATCAGTTTCCTACTTTGAGTGCTGATGCAGTTTTTTAGGACATTCATACTCAAAACCTTGGCGAGAGACTTACTTGTAAGTCTGCCACATAAATTTATGCTTCAAATAGTGAGATTAAAACAAATGCTTACTTTTTATAGTTTAATTCAGAGACTTAGTTTTTATGTTTGTGTCCTTAATTGGAGCAAAGTTGGAAAAAATTGATAGCATTTTGGTGAAAATGAAAACTGTAGAGAGTTTGTGTGTGCATTAACAAATGGCTTTTGTATGGGAAGCATTATGCTGATGAGTCTAGTTAATTTTCACCACAGGAGGATAACATGGGTTTGATTTGCCCCTCTCTTCTTTAGCAGCTCTGTGATAACAGCCAGCAAGAGAGTTGGGAATCATTAAAATAAGAGCTGAGTGTATATGTGTGCTTGTATGCATCAGGTTAAGATGAAAGTGAGCTGAGGTGTCCCTGGACAAGCAGCCTAATGCCATATGCTTACAGTCTTGGGCTAAAAAGGGATAAAAGAGAAACTGCAATAGAGCAGGAGGGAGGAATGGGGAGGTGGAATCTGTCCTCTATGAAGAAAAGCCAGATAGACTGTTTCCTCTCTGAGAAACTATTTGTAATGTAGGGCTCTGTTGTCCAAAGAGAATGAGCAACAAAAGCCTGTGCATTTTGTGTCAGGTTGAGCACAGTATTTCTGCTGGGAAGTATGGCCTGAAACTCAGTGGTTTTTGTCAGTCATAATCTGGGATAATTCAAGTTGTATTTACACTGAGCTGATTGGGACCTGTGGTTTTGTCATAAGGATGCAACCTTGTAAGAGCTGACCCATCGTGTAATTTAGGTGTATTAAGAGCTCTAGTTTCTGTGGTTGAAGGGCCTGTTTGAAAATCACTTGGAAAATGTAAGATTAAGAAAGATGAGCACCCATGTGGAGAGTGACATTCTTAGTCCTGTGTATTAAGTGTCTTGTGTAAAATGTTCTGTGTGGCTGGAATGTGAAGGACTCACATAGCCTGCACTGTTACCAGGTGATCTGTGTTGTGGCAGGTGTGGTAGGACTTGTGGAAAATGGCTTTGTGTCCAACATGCATTTGTATTGCCTTAGTGTCTGCTAGGTACATAACAAACTTATTACATAATAGGCATCCTGTCTTGTCAGGTGTTCTAAATGCTGCAACAAATCACTGTTCCTTCTGCTTTTGTTAGTGCTGCTTTTGTCTTTCAGGTGTTGCAGCGTGTGCAGGATATAGGGGATCTGATCTGTAGACAAAATACATGGATAAAATAAATAATAAGGTTTGTAGGTGTTACAGGATGTTTGTGAACTTAATGTAAATAAAGCACTTCTGGTATTGGAAGACCCTATGCTTGTTTGTAGGCTATAAATTAGAAACAAGACTGTTGGATTTTTTTTTTCTATCAAAATGTAAATTTTTGCTTCTTTATGAAGCCTTCAAAATAGCTACTTATCAAAGCTTGTTTAATTTTGCATACTTCCCTTTGGTTAATATTAAGAATTTATGCCCACTTATGATTTCTGGAAGGTTATAGCAGCATTGCTGCATCTATATTCAGCAGTGTATTTGTGCATTTATCAGTTAGATGCAATTGATGGTTGGCTTTCCAAGGAGCATTTTTAAACTCCAGTGGCATTACTGTAAGGAAAAAGGTTTTCAGAAATGCTTAATCAAGATGTTTATACATTTAAATGCCTTTTTTCAACCAATTTTTCCATCTATGGAGCTTGTACTGAAATAATTGCAAGTTTTATGTATTATTTATCTTTCTTTTAAACAGTTGTTTCATTTTGGGAGGTGTAGGTAGAGACTGTTGAATGAGGGACAGGATGTGATTGTCCATCTTGGTTTCCAGTTTCAGGTCTGTCCAAAAAGCTTGTGTGTTTCCACCCCTGGGCACCGAACAGACCTGTTCCAGCGGGACCCCCAGAACGTTCTGATCACGGATTTCTTCGGCAGCGTCAGGAAGGTGGAGATCACCGCAGGGGCGCTTGCCCTGGACCGGGACGTGGCTGCACTGGAAAGCAAGTGAGTGGTCATTATTTATAGCTTTGTGCCAAAAAAAGGTTTGTATAGCTTTGTGCCACAAAAACAAAGCAGTTGTTTAACTGCCAAGGAAAAAGGACTGCCTTCCTGTAATTTCTTGCAAGAAATCAGGGAGTTAATATGGACCTCTTACCGTCATGAAGTCAGCTGAAAACTTTGCTTAAAAGTGCCCACTGCTTTCCTGACCCTGGTAGGTGTGGATGTCAACAACAACAGAAGTAGTTTAGAATTTTTTCTTCCTTAATGTTTCTTTTTTAGTGCTCAAATATTTTGTTATGGCAATTCCTGCATGTGGCAGGTTCCCCTCTCCACCAGATAAGCTCTGAGTATAAGCCATCAGGTTAGGTATTTGATAACAGTTAGCTTTTTATAAATACTTTGTTTCAGTTCTCTGATTCTCTGGCCTTTGGCATTATTCTGTCCTGAGAATTTCTGTTCCTGAGATACAGTGATTATTTTGATGAAAATTACTGGTGCAAGTTCATTGATTGAAGTCGTAACAGGGCTTCCATTACTTTGTGGATGAAGAAAGAAATATAAACTTCTTTTTATTTTTGGGATTCTGTTGCCACCTATTGGGAAGATGTAAAGGAAGATGTGCTTGTTCTGTAGGGTTTATTTAGAATTGTACTTCCATTTCTGTTATGTCTTTTGTGCTTGATGATACTCCCTGTAGGAGGGGGAAACAAAGGATTGAAATATTGTGCTATATCAGGGACTAAATACTTTTCAACACATACATTTATGTAAATTCTTGTTCTGCCTTGTTTACTGTTGCTCAAGCCAGTGGAATAGCAGTTTTATTTATTTTAAAGGTAACAGTAACTCTGGTCCTCGTCATTACAAATATCCTGCAAGGTTTAGTGTATTTCATATTTTACTTTTATCCTGTATTTATATCTGGATCATATGCATTATTCCATACCATATAAATCTTAAGCTAGTTTTGTGATTCCTTAGGATAGAACAGGACTTAGTGGCATTAAATTTGTATTTTTTTCACTGAAGAATAAAAAAGCTCTTGGCAAGTAACAGACATTTGAGATTGCTAGTCAAAAACCATGATGAAAACTTACCTATTTGGGTTTCTAATTTGTGGAAAATTGAAAGGAGAAATAGATTTTGAAGAACTACCATTCTGAAAGAGGAAATGACTAGCTGGAATTTTCAGCTTTTTTTGTGTGTGTTAGTTTGGTGTCAGTAATGGAGAGATTTGTGGTGCCTGACACTACTGGACTGCACACATGGAACCATGTTGAGAAATGGGCACTTAAGCACAGAGAGGAATATTATTCTTCTGAAATGTTCTGATATTTAATGAAAGCTGCATTACATTATCATGGCAATCCACTTGATTCTGTGAAATTGGAAGGGGTGGGGACATGCTGGTTTAATGTCTGTTTTCATAATTGTCCTTTGTATAATTTTCTTAAAAAGTACTTAAGTTCTCAGTGTCTTGTTACCATTTTTAAAGAGTTTCTAGACAATATGTTTTTCATTGGTTAAAAAAATACTGAAAATTTATAGTATAGTTCTAACAGAGTGTAGTGCTTAATAAATTCCTTAAGCAGAATTATAAAGTCAGTACCTCTTGGTATGACAGCTCTGTTTAGCTACAACAAATATAAGAATTACATTTTAAAGTAAATTTATTAAATGAAAAGGTCAATGCCTTTTAAAAATGCAGTTTTGGAGCATCTGATCTACAAGAACTAGTTACTTTGGTTCTTTAAAAAAATGTTATGAACATTACACACACCTCTTTCTGAGGGTATTGAGAAGGTAGAACACAAATTACATGATTTTTGAATAGGTGCTACCACTGATTGTCCCAAAATAATGTAAGAATGGCTCCTGAATGAAAGAATGAGAGTGCTTATTCTTAACCCTGTAAGTGTCAATTAAACCATTCTGTGCCTTTTGGGAATGCAATGGCTGTTGACATTCTGATGTAAAACATTTGCAGAGGGATGGGGCTATCACAGCCTGATTTATTAGTTTCATTGGGAGAGTACTAAACAAAAAAAAAGGGAAATAATCCTTCCAAAATAATTATGACTAATCTTGTTCATGCCCAACATTGTTTTAAAAGTCCTGATGAAGCAGAAAAAAGTAATGGAGAATTGAACCTGGGCCCTTAAGAGATGGTAAGATTTATTGACCAAGAGGTATCTGATAGATTAAAAGTATATGCTACTACTACATCAAAATTTATATTAGTTTAGTTACTGAGTGTGAAGATGTTACTGGTTTAATATTTGGTGAGGCTTCATTCCTTTATGAATAATGTCCTGTGTCTTATTCTTCCCTCAATGTTAGCTTGATACCTTTTTTTCTTCTCCTTTTACATACTGGTGGCAGTAGAATGCTACAGAATGTTTGTGTTGCAGAGCATAAGCAGAAAATGAAATCCAGGCCTCAGCTCTGAAACAGTCTTCAGTAGTCTGCATTAGATCTGGTGTGTTTGTTTTAAAGCTGCAGATGTCACAGGTACAGATAAGGACATTAAAAGCCAAATGAACAAAAGAGGTAAACCACTGATTACACAGATTATGGGTAAAGAAGATGCTGTCATGTGAGGCATGAGCATGTAGCAGGATTGTACTGCTGGCAGACTGTTCAAGTTCTCATCTTGCCCACTGCTGTGACTTCGCCAAATCTTTTCAATAGAAGTTTGTTCTTTTGTTGCACAATTGCTTAGCAATTACTTGGTTGTACAGATCCGCTCCCAAGCCCAGCGTGAGCCATAGCTGTGCAACCAGATCAGAACTGGCAGCTTCACGTGGAGCTCGTGCTGTGACGTTTGATGAGTGAGGCCTTTGAAGTTTCCTCTGGCTTGGGCTGAGACTCATACAGAGAACAACTACTAATTAACCAAGGGAAGAGGCTTTCTTTCTATCCACGTAGTGGTAGGTGAATATTTGCGAGTAAAAGCTTTAAAAAATAAAGAGAAGGTTCCTCTGCTGTTTCCTTTCTTCATAGCTGTTTCAGTCTAAGCTGTGTTCACTTCAAAGAGATTGTTCTGCAGCTGCCTCAGTCCTGACACGATCTGTAGCTGCCAATTTTAGCAGAAAATCTGACAGTCTAAGGGTTCTGAGGCTTCAGATGGTTATGTTTTGTCTAAATCCCCATGCAAGTGTAAAAAGTCAACCTTAAGGAGTAAGAAGAAATCCTGTTTCTTTGGAGGAGGAGCCTTGCAGGTTTTAGGACATCTAATAAATTAGGACTGTGTCTTTTAAACTTTGATTGTAATTCTGCAGCCAGTTGGAACGTTTTCTCCTTTTCAGTTCTTGTAATGAGGAAAAGACCTGTATCAGCAGAAAGTGTTGGTAAAAATTGGGATTAATATTTCCCTTGATGGGTAGTAAAGAGTGAATTAAAGACAGCATCATATAAAACTATCCTAATTCCATTGCTTTTGAGAATTAGGCTTTGTATTTAATGCTTATGTTATGAAGGATTGTGATTCTTCACTACTGGCAGTGACTGTTTTCCTAAAAATAAATAAATTGGTCACCTGTGTTAGGAGGGATGCTTGTAACAGGCTAATTATGAGTAATTGGTTCATTTACAGAATATTACTAGCTAATGTTCTCTCAATTTATTTTGTGTGTGTGTGTTGGTGTCTCTTTCCTGTCCTTTCTTCTTTTCCACCAGCTATTTTCAATTTGATGTGGTTAATAATTAAAGCTGCTATTGTGTTGTCCTGAAGCCGTGGGGAATATACTTTATGAACCAGTAGGTAATTTGTTTATTTGGCAAGTAGATGCTGCTCAGCTCCAGTGGGCTTTCCTTAAAATAGTGTCCGGGTTTGTTCCGAGATCCCCGTTGAGTCCGTACCAGGTGCCACAAAGCCGTGGTTCCATCACGATCCGTGGGTCGCGCTGAGGGCTGGTCCTGCCGGCCCCGCGGCCGGGCGGGTCCGGGCTCCCGCCGCGCTCCCGCGCTGCGCGGGCCGCGCGGCGCCGGCAGGTGGCGCCATCGCGCCGGAGCGGCGGCGCGGCGGGCGGGGCTGGGACCGGGACCCGGGCCGGGACAGGGACAGGGAATGGGACAGGGACCCGGGAATGGGACAGGGACCCGGGAATGGGACAGTGATTGAGACAGGGACCGGGACTGGGATTGGGACAGTGACCGGGACTGGGACAGTGATTGAGACAGGGACCGGGACTGGGACAGGGACCGAGACAGGGACCGGGATTGGGACAGGGACCGGGATTGGGACAGTGATTGAGACAGGGACCGGGACTGGGACAGGGACCGAGACAGGGACCAGGATTGGGACAGGGACCCGGGAATGGGACAGGGACCGGGATTGGGACAGGGACCGGGATTGGGACAGGGACCGGGAATGGGACAGGGACCGGGAATGGGACAGTGATTGAGACAGGGACCGGGACTGGGACAGGGAATGGGACAGTGACCGTAACCGGGGCTGGGACAGGGACCCGGGCCGGGACCGGGGCAGGGACAGGGAATGGGACAGGGACCCGGGAATGGGACAGCGACCAGAACTGGGACAGTGATTGAGACAGTGACAGGGACCGGGATTGGGACAGTGACCGGGACTGGGACAGGGACCGAGACAGGGACCGGGATTGGGACAGGGACCGGGACTGGGACAGTGATTGAGACAGGGACCGGGACTGGGACAGTGATTGAGACAGGGACCGGGATTGGGACAGTGACCGGGACTGGGACCGGGACTGGGACAGGGACCGGGACTGGGACAGTGATTGAGACAGGGACCGGGACTGGGACAGTGGCTGAGACAGTGACCCGGGCTGGGACAGTGATTGAGACAGTGACCGGGATTGGGACAGTGACCCAAGGTGGGACAGGGAGTGGGACCGGGAGCGGGGCTGGGATAGTGACCATAACAGTGACCTGGGCTGGGACAGTGACCGTAACAGTGACTGGCACTGGGACTGGGACAGGGACAACAACCACAACAGGGACAGGGACCAGGACCAGGGGGGTCC